AAATTTCAATTAAGATACAAAATGTATTTTTTAATGTCATTATTATGCATTATTTTGTCAAATTCAAGGTTACGTCGGGCGTATAAAGACACAAAAGTACAAACAATACTCTACAATAAATTACACATACATCTTAACACAAAGAGTAACAAGTACACAAAAAATAACTTTTCAAAGACACCAGGATTATATTTTTGTACCCCTCAATAAATCCGAAAATGAACTCAAATACGCAAAACGAGTAAGTAGTTCCTATTCCAAACTTTTTATTCTGGCATTTTGGCATTTTTCAATTTCACATTTTTAAAGTGCTATTTACAAGAATTATATTTTTTAACCACTCAATATAATACCTCAAATACTCAAAACAAGTACGTAGTTCCTGATCGACCTGTTTATTATCTGGCATTTTTAATATAATATTTTACAGTGCTATATGCACGTACATGGTCATGATGAACATTGGTCTTTTTAAACTTTATTTCTGTACTTCTAAAGTAACATCCATGGTTCTTTTAAAAATATCAACGGACACATATTTTGCTATGTGTACAAAAAAATGTGCGCATCACATGCCATTAATGTTTAATCCGACAAATATTTGTCTTCGAAATTGTTTTTTATGCGGAGAGGTGGGGTAATTGTTATTTTAGTTTACACAAATTATTTTTTCTCCTCGAATATTTTAACTGAAGTAGTATTTAATATAATATTTTACCATGAAATCTGAATTCAAAATTGTTGTGTAGACCTATTAAATCATCTACAAGAGTTTTTGTTTGCTGGTTAACTAATTCAAATGCAAATAAAATGCAGCATTAACGATCAATAATCTAATAAAGTAATCTTTAATTCGCAGCTCACTGGGAACAGATAAATCTACTCTCCTCCTACATAGATGCTTCATTTTTGTATGGAAGCCAACATAATTTGACTTTAGAGCTAAGAGTACCTAATAGCTGTAAGTAACTGATTTGTAAATATACTCATATGCCTTTACTATTGTTCAAATTTAGTTTTTTTTTATTTTCAAAAACTATGGGTTTCATATCATTCATATTCTACTTAACACCTGAGAAATAAATATACATACGCATATTTCTTTCCTTACCAGTCCCAACTTCACAACTAAAATAAAACATCTAGATGAGGAAAATACTCTAAACCGAAACTACGTCACCTACATGCTTTATCTGTACCCGCTTCAGTTTTAATTTTGCGCCAAAGAGTTCTGGCTCTTGAAAAATAACTTCTATCTCCCAATTTGATATCATGAGTACGAAATGAGTAAATTATTTGATTTACTACACCCCCTTGATCTGCCTCTGCTGTTAATAAAGAATAAAAAAAACAAAACGCTGATGATGAAGAGACCCTTTCTGTTCGAGTTTCTGATTCGGAACGTCAACATATTTGTTTTGTATTCAGTGCAGAGGACACTGAGAAATTTAGAAATGCGGATGAACTCAATACCTTTGACAGCAGGTCAGTTTTATTGAAATATTGTGAACATGACCGGTTCCAGAAATATTTGACAAGCAGAAATGAGAAATCTTATGAAATAGAGAAGCAAGATCAGACTGTGAGCCATACTGCGGGTGACAAATTTGGTCGTGACGCTTATATCTCGTTATTGAGTGAAAAAAACTGGTTTAGTCTATGAACAAAACCAAATTGCTGTTTTCCGTGGATCATGGAGAGATTTCCCACAAAATTATTGGTTATAGGGAAAATTATAGGCTAAGTGTCCGAATACATGCAAGTTGTCAGATTTTTTTTTGATATTTCGACAATGGACAATACTGCTGAAAAAGATATTGTCCAAAAGCTGCATTTGGTCGAAATTCAAGTTTGATTACGTAAAAATTGAAGTCACTTGAAAAGTTAGCTTATCAACGACAGTAAGCGGCCTGTGTGAGTTTGATTACAACTTGTTATTTACAACAATCAGCAGAAAATTTGTTGGATATTATTCAATCAAATTTAGACAGAGCAATGTTAAAAGTTAAATTAGACTGCGAGAGCAGAAGCTTTTCATCACATAAAACGTCGCCGTCCAAAAATGTATGGTAAAGATCTTATTGAACTCGGAGACTATACCAATATAATTGTGATTTTACCATTAACTGAAGATAGTATATCTGGTTCACAGTTTGATGCAAAAAATTAAAGAAGAAAAAAACAATTAGCCGACGTTTTACCTAGCGATAAAAAAGTAACACATGGTTCACAGGAAAAGGAAAAACCACAGCGACAGTAACCTCAGTTAACAGATTACGGAATGAAGCCTGAATTTAAAAGTGGTTTCCAGATACCAAAGCAGAACTTTGGGGAGTTCAAGACCTCTTGAAAACAGACACCTGGTGCAAACAAAACTTGGGTAAGTGTTTTTATCTAATGTGACGAACAAGTGTAGTTTCTGACGCCAAAAGACTAATGTTGCTACCTCAGATACCAGTAGGTAGGAGGTACAAACATTTTTTCAGGAATGGGAATCAATCACAGACGAACAATGGGTACCGAAAACTTTCAACTTCTCAAGAAAACAAGCGTTAGGAGACAGGTGATAAATTAAAAACCTCTCAACCAGTATCGAAAGTAGCAGCATTTCAAAATGATCACTTACACAAAGGTTTTCAACCGTATAAAACACACCGAAAATTTCTACCGTTTTGTATACAAGGCAAATATTATCAATTTGTAGCTCTGTGTTTACAGAATTAATAACTGTAGTAGAAGCTCATGTGATAATTCTAAACAAACGTCTAGCAACATATTTGGACGATTGGATTGCTAGTGAAGGCACAAGAGGAAAGTCTTATTTAAGATAGAGAGAAAACACCCAGCTGGTCCACTAATAAAATTTGGGTTAATAATAAATCTTAAAAAACTTATCTTATTCTCTCTTATTCAGAGATCACTTACATAGTTCAATTTCAAGAAGAAAATAGTTTTGCTTACTATGGACAGAATTTTGAAATTAGAAATTCAGTGAGGAACTTCATGAGAGGACACAATACGGCAAAAGATTATCTAATTATGTTGAGTATGATAGCTTCATGCATAGACTTGCTCCCAAATGCACGCCTCTTTATGCCCAGCCAAAAACAACCATTTACCATCCAAATCCCGAAGTGTCCATGCTGATGATTGTCTGCTCTCCACTAAAAATTTCAGAAACTAGAAAACGTCTCAGAGCATTGCGGAGATCTAGCACACAGTAAAACTATACTGGTTTATTCAAAAACAATAATAGCTGGTATCGTGAACGGGGAAAAGAGCCCTATGCAGCTACCCTAGCAGACTGTTGAAGACCGTACTTTGACCTATAATGGTTTACTTTTACAAATTGTGACTTGGATGGAGAGTTGTCTCATTTGCACTCATACCACATCTTCTTATATCTATGTGCAGATTTGTTGTCTCATTTGTACACTTCAGGTTTACAATATCGCACTTTATCAGTTTTTAGATTCATTTTATCTATACTACCACCAATAGATTATGTTCGAATTGGACAAAATCCTTATATTCTGATACTATTAAGAGGAGTATTCAATTCTAAACCTCCAAAATAAACTTGAGTCCCAAAATGGGATTTGCAAAAAGTTTTCGACATGTTTTTCTTGCAGCAATCATAACGCTCAGGAGATGTTCGGACATGCAAACGCTGAGAATTAGAGAGAATTTTGTGAATGAACAGAAGAAATAACTTTTTTGCTTGAGGCAAGGTTTGTCAAAACAAGATAGACCAAATCATTATGCAATAAAAAACATTTTGCAACATTTTGAACACAATGAAAAGCTTGATCATAAAAGAGCCATTGCAATATATACTAGTATTTGAAACGTACAGAAGAATTAATAAAAGATGAAAGCAAACTTTTCTTGTTAACTGTAAAACCTTCTAAACCAGTAACTTCACAAACAATTTCAAGATGGTTAGTGAATACAATCAAACTGGCGTATGAAAATAAAGATTAAAGAGTTGAAGCTCACATCTATTGGACCTTCATGGCCTTTTTCAATTGTGCTAGTATGAAGGATATTTTAGAACCAGCCGTTTGGTCAATAGATACAACTTTCATCAAGTCTTATTTGAGAAATGTGGATGTTAAAGTTTTTTTTTACTATTGTGTATATAACAGATTGTTTTTATACGTATATACAAACTGAATTGTTGCTGTGAAATGCATTAAAAGAAGATAAAAGAAAAAACAAAGAAAAAAACAGTGTAAATATTGTTTAGTGTACAGTTAAATGTGTTTTATTTAAATAAACAAGTGGTATGAAGTAAAGATTATAACCAGGATGTAGAGTTTCAGAGCCATAGAAAATTACTCTGCCACCAGAGAGGTAAGGCTTTGTAATCTATCTGTATGTATATTTTGCAGGTGGTAAGTAGAAAATGAAAGATATGAAATTCTAAATTTGTTTTCAAATTCAGATTTTATGAATGATGTTTTCTACTTACCACCTTATAATTACCCACCCTACCTACCCACTTATATTTTCTATAGTAGAAATAAAAAAATGAAGAGGTTACAAGTAACGTGAAGCTTGAAGGTGACGTATTTCTGGTTGGGAGTTCGTCATCTAGGTGTTTTATTTTAATTGCGGAGTCTGGACTGGTAAGGAAAGTTATATCCATATACTATTACTCAGGTGTTAAGTAGAAAACCTCATTCATAAAATCTGAATTTTGAAAACAAATTTAGAATTTTAAGGTTGGACGATTCTGTAGTTTGTCTCGTTAAAAAAAACCTATTTGAGTGGTTTGAAACAGGCTTTGAGGTAGAAAATGTTGTCTGAGAAAGATAACGAGTTTAAGGTTTGTAATTCAAAGAAACAGGCATACAAACAACGATTTATTCAACATATATAAATCAGTTACACATTAAACCTTGGTAAGAAAACTTTTGTTTTATGAGCACTTTGTTGTCTTGTAAAGTGAAAATAAATCACGTAAAATATTCGTTAATTTCACATGTACATTATCATCATTATATGAACTTTCTCTAACGTGTTCAGTCTATGTGTGCTTACTTTATAGTACATTTATAGTACATTATCTACCTTCTTCACTCTATATGTGCTTACTTAATAGTTCTGATGAAAACAGACCCAGGAAACCTTTTACCAACACAGAAAGGAGGAAATTGTTTAAAACTATCAAAATGGATAGATGTCCGTTAACAGGTAACAGTAAAGTTTAGTACTGTCAGCGCACGTTATGCAATCATGACAATTGTATGTAAACGAAACGCGTGTCTGGCGTTAGTCCTGGTATATAGGACGAGTTTATTGATTCATTATAAAATAAAACCTATTTGCCTCATTTTAATTATCAAAGAAAATAAAAATTATTGTCATTGTTCCTCTAAATTTTTCACCTGTTCGGTGTCTTTAAGTATCACTTTATTTCCTTTTTTTAGCATTAACTGTCGCATGGATATTCCATCCCACAAGTATGATAACCTTTATGAACCTTTAACCCCATTACATTCATAAACTTTTAATTCCTTTACTATATATGCATCATACACTGATTAAATCAACGATACTTACTGATTGATTGATTGGTGCGTGCTTTATGTCCTTTTGCAATTATTTCATACATATTCATAGCAAAAAACCCGGTGGGTTTATTGGACAGGGAGTCGAAAGGAGTATGAGCAAGAAGGCCTAAATTATGCTCTAAAGTCGGACTTTGTAATATCTTATCTGAAGACCAATATCTATGACCGAATATATGCATATATAGATGTAACCTTTACAGTTATCGATTGGCTGGAAAAAAAAAGTTTTATGCCACCTCTGGAGCAGGATCTGCTTACCCTTCCGGAGCACCAGAGATCACCCCAAGTTTTTGGTGGGGTTCGTGTTGCTCAGTCTTTAGTTTTTTATGTTGTGTTTTGTGTACTATTGTTCAAAATTACTGCACTTTTCTTGTATCCCTGGTGCTTTCGACTGGAGAACCGTCGTACACAAGTATTGCACAAGTTGGCACTCCGAGGCGGTTGGGGAGCAAGAAGGTGAACTGTGGTTTATTTTTATCAATAGTACCGCTTAAGTCGACGCTAGGGGCCGTCTTAATCTTGTTGTATGGTATGAATGATTCGTTCATTGATGAAGACCCTACATGAACTGTCAAGATGAAGAAAAGGAAAATAAAAGCCCCGTTCATTGATAATTTTCTATGTTTTCTATGTATTGTGTGCGATTTTGTCCTATGTACATTTACTCCATATCCTTTCATTTTCTTTTGTCTGTTTGTCTTTTTCTTTTTTAGCCATGGCGTTGTCAGTTTATTTTCGACTTATGAGTTTGAATGTCCATTTGGTATCTTTCGCACTTCATTTATATTTAAGTTTTTTCAGTAACCGATGACGGAAAAATTTCTGATTGTCAAGCTTTCTCTACACTTGTTGGTTTGTAACTATCTTTCAGTACGTCTAAACATGGATCAATTATAAAATGAAATAAGTAATGGTTAACGTGAATGTTACTTTACGAGTGTATATTGCCGAGTTAAGATTTGCCGTAAACATTCACTTATCAAGTTGCATGCATTTACATAAAATACTTAAAAGATAAAATTTACACAAACTTGCTTAAACATAGCTAAAATGTTCATCTTGAATTTTTCATTCTGAAATTCTCGTGGGACAGTGTCAAGAGTTTCTTCCCGCACACCATGGTTTTGAATTCTATGCAAATGTCATACAAGTGAGAGGTTTAGCTAGTATAAAACCAGGTTTAATCCACCAATTTCTACATAAATAAATGCCTGTACCAAGTCAGGAATATGACAGTTGTATTCCATTCGTTTGAGGTGTTTGAGCTTTTGATTTGATGAGGGACTTTCCGTTTTGAATTTTCCTTAGAGTTCGGTAGTTTTGTTATTTCATTTTGATTATTTCAGGCGTAAAGATTCATTAAGAGTAAGTTTTAGTTCTCTGCCATTAAGAATAGTTCATGTCGTGATCCAATTTTTTGTAAGCTATTTTTCATCGAATAACATTTAATACGGACAACCAAGTTATTCCGTCAATTTCACGGAATTTCGAAACCGTTTATGCCAATACATTGACTGAAATTAAAAAGAATTGAAAAGTGGAAAGGGCTCCTAGATACCTTTTCTGTCTACTGTTTGCCTCCTACAAGTTTGACAACTTATAAGGTATCATGTTAACTGCAATTTTAATGTCTATTTCCTTCTAAAAAATGACCACACTCTTCGAACAAAATATATCTGTTATAAAAATATACATATGAGTGAAAAATACATCCTAACAAAAAATTAATGATGGTCCATCAATGTGGTCAATGCCATCAGAAACAAAAACTATCAGGGACGAAGGATACCAAAGGGACATTCAAACACATAAGTCGAAAATAAACTGACAACTCCATGGCTTAAAAAGAAAAAGACAAACAGAAAAACAACAGTACACAAAACAACATAGAAAATCAGACTCAGAAACACGAACCATACCAAACACTGGGGATGATCTCAATTGCTCCGGTAGGGTAAACAGGTCCTGCTCTAAAATGTGGCACTCGTCGTGATGCTCATGTAAGTACAAACCCGGTGATATATCTAAATCGGTAGGTCACATTCTGGGGAAAGGCGACGAGATTGAAGTTACGACAATTGGAACAAATCCGTCGTCATCTGTGAAACAGATATTCCATAACGGTCAACCAACTCGCGATGGCGTGCGTAAAATTTACGAAGGGATTATTTCAATCTCACCACTTGGAACTCTTGGTTTAATAGCTTCCTTGTGAGCAGCAACCCTCTATCAAGGAAATCATGATAGGAAACACAAGCCCGGGAATATCGTGTCAACTGCGAGATATATACTCCGTATGCAGCCGCTGCTGGAATGTTGCTACATAGAAATGGAAAGTTCACAATTGGGAAGCTGAAATCATCTCTTTTGTCGTAAAGTTTTGTTTTCAACCGACCCTCATTGTCAATTTCTAGATGAAGGTTAAGATATGAGGCAGATTTAACTGTATCTGTTGTATCCTTTATCACAAATTATGATACTCATCGTAATGGGCAATTTTGTGGCGACATATATGACACAATATATGTGGTTCTACATCAGAGCTAGATAAATTTGTATTTGTTATAAATTTTTACATATCTTTTCATCAAATTTTTACTTTTATAACTGAAGCTAAATTTCGTGAATTATAAGGGTCAATGTAAAGCCTTTATAACTTACTAATTTGGCCTTGTAACAACTACGTACAACACTTGTTGCCAGTGTTTTTTTATAACGCGCAGATAGCGTAGGATTTACCGTGCCCTTTCAACGGGACGTTGCTGCGTATTTAAACATCCCGCACAATAAAACAGACGCAAAACCTTATCAAGGGTATTATTGCGGGAAAGATAGAATTCCAGGAAGCGATATTTATGTAACCTAGTTATCCTTTTGATTTTGAGATCATGATTTTTTGAAGCTGATTGTTATTATATCATACTGAATCAAAAGTAAAAAATATGACACTGAATATTGATAAGGTAAATGGTAATGAAGTGGAGACAACAGCAGTATACCGCTGTTCAACACTCAATAATCCATTGAGAAGGTACAAACAAGGTAAACAAACAATGGAACCACATTTGACCTCCATAAAGGAGCGAGACTGGGCGCATGGACAGGGTAAGCGTTTCTTCCTATACACGCATCACCTGCCATGCGAATTAATACTCAGTCAAAATGTAACAATCGGGAATAGGAGCGAATCGGTAAATTAACAAATCAGACGACTATATATTATATAAAGATCTGAGACAACCAAAAAATGCCGCTAGTGAGTTACGTTACAGACGCGTCGTATCAGTCAACCAAGTCGTGATATTGACCGAAAATAAATATGTATTTCGATTTTTTTTTTTCTTTTCATTCACATTTTGATATTTTTTTGTCATCAGCACAACACCGGTTAATAAAGTCCGTGTAGTGTGAACATGCATATCGTATTAATTTGTATATATATATATATATATCATACGATGGTACGCAGAGGGAAAGTTACTGTTGAGAAATGAAATGTGGGTTATTGAGTAACAAGCCATCATTTGAAATATATCTGAAAGTTAAATTGAAGAAGGTCTGCATGATTTCTGCTTCATTAGAGTACAAAAAAGTTTTTGTTTATCTAAAGGTAAATAACTGTGATCAAAATAAAAATAAGGAGATGTGATATGATTGCCAATGAGACAACTATCAACCAAAGCTCAAATGAAGTTGATGTAAGCAAGTCCATTTTCAAAACGGTCAATATTTTTTTTATTACAAGAGATCTTTACGTGTCAATCAGTGTGTAGGATTTTAGGCTTTTATTTTCAATAATAGCACTTGATATTTCAATGAGCATCAAAAGTTCAATTTCGTTATGTATGTTTCGCATCAGGACCCCTTTATTCTCTCGAGATAAAAGCAGGCATGGATATTAAAGCAAGAATGACGTTTCATTCGTTACAACTGAATTGGACGGTATAGCACTTTTGCGCTTTAACTAGAAGTTGCTACATCCAAATAAGGATTGACATCAGGTAAATGCAACATTAACCACAAAAAAAACTCAATGTTTTTGTTTTGAAAAATATATATATTTGTAAACAAGCTATTGTTTGTTTTACTTTTATGACATATTGACATATTGTCGCTAGCTAGGCCACGTAAAACTGGTTTAACTCCACAGTTTGTGCCTGTCCAAATTCAGGATATCTGAACCATGTGTTTTTCGTTGTTGTGTTTATTATTTTTTATTCGCTGGAGACGAATGTTGGTGATTTTTGTGGACTCTTGTACTGTCCAATATTTATCGTCATTCTTGTAATCCTATGTATGTGTTATTTCAAATTAATTCCCCATAAAAAATACATTTGCTTTTCTAAGTGAACCTTACTCTTTCAGGCGATAGACGAAATAACGAATCACCAAATCTGGGTTTAAACCACTTGCTTTTTGTCAGGGAGCATAACCGATTATCTACAAAACTTCACGAGCTAAATCCATGTTGGAGAAATGAAAAGGTTTTCCAAGAAACTCGTCGAATTATCATAGCGCAAGTTCAACATATAACGTATAATCATTTTCTACCACTTGTTGTTAACCATGATACAATGAGACGATTTAACTTATCCTCTAAAACAAATGGTTTTGATCATGTTTATGATGACAGTGTTGATGCATCTTGTCTCAATAGTTTTGGAGTAGCTCCGTGGCGTTATGGACACTCGCAGGTAATGGCTGAACAATCCGAATTAAAAAATGATTTCAAAACTATATGCAAACATAAAGTAGAAGATAATTTATTAAGTCCTCATTTATGGCAATACAGCTATGGAAAACATGTCACAAGTCTTTCAAGATGGCTTGCAACGAAACCAGCATTAAAAATTGACAAGTAAGTAAATTAACAGAAACAAATATTTTCTTACATGTTTAATTTTCAGGGTAGTATACGGTTGGGAAATTGTTTGCAAACATAATCAGCATTGAAAACACCTTCTGAAATATTTCAACTAAAGGCAACAGTAGTATACCGCTGTTCAATAGTCATAATTCGATAAAGCAAAAACAAATCCGGGTAACAAACTAAACCTGATGTTCAGTGGTTGTCGTTTGTTGATGTGGTTCATAAGTGTTTCTCGTGTCTCGTTTTTTATATAGATTAGACCGTTGGTTTTCCTGTTTGAATGGTTTTACACTAGTCATTTTGGGGCCCTTTATAGCTTGCTGTTCGGTGTGAGCCAAGGCTCCGTGTTGAAAGCCGTTCTTTGACCTATAATGGTTTACTTTTACAAGTTGTGACTTAGATGGAGAGTTGTCTCATTGGCACTCATACCACTTCTCCTTATATCTATGAACCCGAGGGAAACATATTAACTATAAGAAGAAAATAACGGAACAACAGAAACACTGAACTACAACAAAAGCAAACGCCAGCATACATAGACTGTAGACAACAACTGCCATATTCCTGACTTGGTACAGGACATTTTAAGAAAAACTGGTGGATTGAATCTGGTTTTATGGCTAGTCAAACCTCCTGCTTATATGGCAATGCTGAAAATACCCCTAAAATGACAACACTACGTAACAGGAATACAGTACAAACAAACGCAAGAACACTCAGCACAGAGAAATACATAAATAAATAATATATTAGTACATTACAACATGTAAACCGCAGAACAACAACGGACACCTCCCATGCATTTACGACAGCATACCAGGACACCACAAACGAAATATAAACAATGGCCCTGATCGCCAACTTTACCCTTATTCAATTTTTTGTATCAATAATATCGTACGAAACATGACCTTTTCGCCAACTTTGGCATCTTCAGTGATTTATGAATAGTACCTCTAAAAAAATGAAAAGTTGTGATATGATTGCAAATGAAACAATTATCCACAAAAGACAAAATGACGTAAGATGTAACATTCGGAACAGGGCCTGTGCGCCTTCTTTGGCATTATTAGTAGTATTTAGAACAGTCCCCTTATTTACCTCCTTTAGTTTGTTCAGTGATATTCCCAACAGTATCCCTAGTTCGGTATTTTTTATCAGTATACCTGTTTGCATACTTTGGTCTTTCAGTAATAATCTTAACAGCCAACCGGCATATGAAGTATTTATCTCCAAGTTGATACGCGATGTCATAGCTTGCATTTCATATCATGATTTCTTTGATTCTTTGATAGAAGGTTGTTGTTTATACGGAATTTATTGAACCAAGGGTTCCTACTTGTGCATACTATATACGGTATGCAATATCAACAACAAAACGTTTTCAGTTGGCGTTTTTGTCAAATTGACGATCATACAAAACCTCTTTGAATTGTTAAGTCAGTTGCGTTGTATGTCTGCGATGTATGCCTACAAAGTTTCAGCTGCTTGTTCCCAATTATTCTCACATTAACCTATTTTTATTGTATGGGTTGCTTACCCAATTTTTCAATATAACGAAACTATAAACAATTGCATTTGTTGCAATTAGTCTTACATAACCAATTTTATATATTAGTTTTCAGAATAAAAAAAAACACCAACAAACGGTTCAACAATTATATTGTTTTCAGTTTCCTAGTTGAGGGATTACGTGACAAACTATTCTATATCACAACACCACCAGGTTCAGATCTGTTTTCTTTGAATATACAACGAGGACGTGATCAAGGTGTTCCTGCTTACAATGAATGGAGGAAATTCTGTGGACTAAGAAAATTCAGAAGTTTTGACGACTTTGGAAAATTTGGCTCGAATCTTTCATTAGTATATAAGTATGCTTTTTTTATTAATCAATAGTTTTAATGATGGTTTAAATATTTATAAGTTCATGGTTTTATAAGTGAAACTAAGGAAGCTCTTGCATGACTGAGTACCAGGACGTCCTACCACAAAGTAAGTAACCTGTCTTTTGCGACCCAGGTTCAGGTTCAGGTCGCACTTCCAACATAGGAGATCGAGGATATTAGAGTTATCTTTTCATGATTTGAATTACGTCACTAAGAGATTCAAAATGGCTGTACAGAATAGGCAGAGACGTATATAAAAGGAAATAATTAGATAATAGTGTCAAGGAAATGAATATTCAAACATAAATAGTTACGTCATATCATAGTACAATATCTTACGAAACAAACTGTATACATTGACAAGCTATGCAAGGACGATAAATAATACAAATTTGGAAAATAAGTGCGACCTGAACCTGGGTCGCAAAAGACTATTTTCATATTACCTACTTTTGACTCCAGATAATATAATTTTTCGACAGGTTACTTACTAAGTGGTAGGACATCCTGGTACTCAGTCATGCAAGAGCAAACCAAAAGAAGTAAAATCCAACACATTATCGGTGCAATTTAGGGGGAAAGTTTGTTGTTTTCCGATGATTTTTTCGCCAATAGAAAGCATGAAACAGTAAATTTGCCCCCAAAATTGTACTGATTGTAAGCTTGATTTACCTTCTGTAACTTGACCGAGTACCAGGGTGTCCTACCACAGATTAGGTTATCTGTCGAAAAAAATATAAACTCCGGAGTCAAAAGTCGGTAATATGAAAATATTCTATTCAAAACGTTTTGAAATAGGAAAAATCCGTAGCTCTATGGTCCGCAAATTGTCCACAAATATCAAAAGGACCTAAGAGCTACGGTTCAGCAGCTATTATGTTAGTGCTTGATAAAAGAATTGTGTATTTATATTCACTTATTCACTTGGAAACCCAACGTATACTCCCACGACAAATGACAACGATGTCATGCGCAATCAAGGGTCTATTCAATTAAAATCCAAGATGAAGAACTCTAAGTTCCTTTATTCTATTGGATACCCAAATTACATAAGTGTCTTTACAAACCATTTTGTAATGTTGGGTACTTCATATTCTCTTTGAAACCTTTTCCCAATTTATTAACATATATTGTATCAGCAGTTGAAACCTGTCTTTAAAGTTACTGTGCAACTACCTACTCCAGCCAGCGTCAATGCAAATGTAATGTTTTAGAAAGGGATTAATCACACTTTGGTGAACATTCAATTTCTATGTAACAACATACCAACAACACCTGCATATGGAGTACATATCTCCCAGTTGATACGATGTTCAAGACCTAGCGTTTCCTATCATGATTTCCTTTTAAGGTTGCCGCTATAAATAAAGCTGTTGGTGAAAAGCGTTTGGAATAGGTAATTTGAAGTAATCCATTCGAAAGTTCTCTTTTTCCCTTGATTATGAAATCACTGTAATAGATATATATTCAAACCTTTGCTTGCCATGACGGGTGCAACTAGTGAAGCTGGATTTGCATACCATTCAGGACAAATAAGATCATCCCCAGATTTTGAAGGGTTCAATATTTAAAAAAAAAATGTTTTTAAATATGATACATTTAATCGATAATTGTAAAAATATTGCCACCTGTAACCAGTATATATATGCAACTTGATTTACAAAAAAACACATCAGTGAAAACTTTTAAAAAAAAATCGAGCACGGCCACCGTAAAAAAATTCATACCAATTCTAATTTTTTTTAGGACAGTAGATGATGTTGATTTGTTTATTGGGGGTCTTTTAGAAGAAGGCGAGAACGGCAGTGTTGGACCTACTTTTTCATGTATTATTGGCATTCAGTTTCACCGTTTCAAAGCTGGAGACCGATACTGGTATGAATCATCTGATCCAGATTTTGCATTCACAATAGGTAGTATTATGTTTAATGTTTCAGTATTTAAAAAAAGTGATGTATTGCACCAATCAAAGATATTCTTCTTAACACTTAAAAAGGTATTTCACAGTTATTTATGCTTAATTTATGTTATTTCTTAAAACGGACCAGTCACAAGTGTATAAGTATCTATGTCATTTGAGCAATTTATTTTGACATATATAAACACTTGTAAATTTAGTTACGTATTGCATAAATATAAAATATATACATACAAATATTTAAAAAAATATGTATAAATTCTTTTATTTTTGAATATTTTTACTTTTTAGATCAGCTGAACTCTTTAAAATCTGCTTCATTATTGTCCAAAGTATACTGCACAAATTTAGGATTAAATGAAATACAAGACAATATATTCATGATCCCATCTTTAAAGAAGTAAGTATGTTGACAAAATGTTCAACAGGGCGTGTATATTATACGTGTAAGTTAAACAAGCATAATTGGTTTTGTTTTCAACATTGGGTAGAGTACTTTGTATAACTGTGTTATGCATAGGTAGCTTGAGGAGTTCGTTGATAGCACAGCAAATTGGCATCAACAGGCAACAAAAACCAATATTTTCTCAATTTACGATATATTTTCAATTACTCTAGTCAAAACTACACTACCTGTTTTTCTCTATCTATATAAAGGTGATGTAAGCAATCGAATCTCTGTACGAAATAAATTAAACAAGTACCACACTTTTAAAAAAGTCTATATGCCATTTTGTTTTCCTTTGTTGACATATTTGTTTGTTTTTATAGTGATTAAGATTATAACACAATGTTCACTGCTGTACCCCTTTTTTGACATTTTGTCCTATTATGTCTGTTTGTTTTGTTCACACATTGTTGTCAATATAACGGAATTTTATGCAACTGTCAAACAAGTGAGAGGTTTAGCAAGCTACAAAACCAGGTTTAATCCACCATTTTCCACTTAAGGAAATGCCGGCAGCAAGTCAGGTATATGACAGTTGTTTCCCATTTGTTTGATGTGTTTGAGCTTTTGATTTTGCCATTTGATAAGGGACTTTCATTTTTAAATTGTCCTTGGAGTTCGGTATTTTTTTTATTTTAATTTTTACAAACATTTTAGATTTGTTAAGTGTTCATAAGAAGGAAACAACAAAAACAGAAATCAAAGGAAAACAGACAATTTAATGAAAAAGTAACAAACAACCGTTTGATGCCATCAAAGCACATTGATATTGCAAGCCTAAGGAAATAATAAAAATATTTGCAGTGCAAAAACAAGAAGATGTGCTAGAATTACCAATGAGACAACTGTCCACTAGAGACTAAAAGGGCTCTCTTTTGGTGTATAGTTGGCAGTCATTCGCCATATCTTTATCATCAAATTAAAGAATCTTGTCATCTGAGTGTTAGTCGGAAGTAACTTTGGAATAAACACTTGAAATTTTTAACACATTTTTATATTTTTTGTTTGTAGATAAATTCTGCATAATATCTAAACATAACCCTTTCTTCGAAATTATCGTTTTCCTGGTATCTTCGATGAGTTATTTCTTTTTATTATTTAGAATTTTCCGTGTCAATTTCCAATGAGCACAGCAAAATCAGAGGGACTTGGAACTGTGAAATTGTAATTGATATATAGTATGCTCGTGTTGGTTTTTTTTAATGTTCGTTGTTCAATGTGGTACTCGTTATGATCAGATTTTTTTGTCATCGGTTTAAGCCAAACTTCATATAAAAAGTCTCAGAAAAACGTCAATCTAACCGAATCCTGAATTTATCGTATATGCAGATGACAGTTCTGCACTAATAACTAATTTTTGGTAGTCCAATATACTTAGAAATGAAGGCGTAATGTTTGATAATTATTACAGTTACTGCTGCTGATAATGTTCATACAGATCATAACTTACAAATTCAAGATTGACTGTTATATTTTCTTTCAGTCCAGTGTCTTACTGTAGAGACCTTCCCGATATAAGCCTGTACTTATGGAGAGACAAAACATGTGTGTATGGACCACATCCCTTGGCGAAAAGGTACTAATTGACATCTAACCGATGACAATAGCTCAAAGGAAGTGAATGAATAATTCAAAGATTAAATTCAAGAATTGTACAGTTTTTATTCAACGAACATATTGTCTTGCTTTTAGTTCACTTGTGGATTCTATTCATATGGAAAAACACAATAAATTTATTAGAATGGACTGTTTAAATATGAAATAAGTATTTGCAATACGATGATTAACGAAGGTAAATCATAACCAAGAAATAAAAATCAGAAAGGAATCATTAGAACCATTGGATCCAATGGATCTACCATGTCTTCTGAAATGGTATCTTATAATTATAGACTGTTTATCTATGATATTATAATACTTCTCCAGATTTATGCGGAATTCCTGTTTCAAAAATGTTACGTAACCCCCCACCACTTTTTTTCCTGTTCATTTTTAACGTAGATTTAAGTGTCATGCAAAAATAGTGGGTTTTTAGATTTTATTTTCCTATTGTTTTCATTGGTGGATGTAGAGCGGATGCAACGTGGTTTAAAAGACCAATTTTCGGAATATATTTTTCATGACTTTTAATTTAGTATAACACTCATAAAAGGCTAAATCACCTTAAAAATTGCGACCATACCATGCCAATTTTGATATTTCCCTTTTGCTTCCAAAAAGATGATGAAACTATCAAAAGAATGGGTAAACTTCAAATTTTAATCTCATGCCAATTACAAATTCTGATTTTGAAAATAAACGTCAGGGTTTCTATAAATAGACTGAGTAAACTGTAAAATGCAGATGCATGCATGCTTCTTATGTGATTGATTAACTTTTAGTGGCAAATATTTCATGCATATTCAGGACAAGAAGAAATTATCAATAATATATTTACAATAATTTGTTCGATTACTGTGATTCAGAAATTATTGCGTGCATCTATTATTGCGATTTTTAAAGAATGGAAAAAATAAAAGATTATTTAAAAATAAAAAATCTGCATACAGCGATATGTATTAGAATTATGAATGCGATTTCTTATTATTGCGATACTCCCCCAGTCGCATTATTCGCATTAATAAAAACCTCGCAATAATTTCTGAATTTACAGTAATTAATAACAACATAAAAAATAACGATGTGGTATGATTGCCAATGAGACAACTCTACGTAGAAGGTCAGCAACTATAGGTCACTGTGAGACCTTCAACAAGGAGAAAAACCTATACCGCAAAGCAAGCTATAAATGGTCCCGAAATGACAAATGTTAAATGATTCAAACAAGGAAACTAGCGGCATGATTTATGCACAAAACAACAAACGAATTACAAATATGATGTAAATAAACAAACGACAACCAATGAATTACAGGTTCCTGACTTGGGACAGGCACATACATAATGTGGAGTGGTTAAATATGTTTGCAGGCGCGCCAGCCCTTCCCTAACCTGGGACAGTGGTGTAACAGACTCCCTTTGCGGTGTTATGGTATTTAAGTTTGAGCATTATACAAGATCGTCTATTAACACATGAAGAACGACTGTGGTATAGAAATATGGTCAGCTGGACTTCCGCCGACTGGCAGTAAACGGCATTCTAAAGAGGGGCGTTTGTTTGGTTGTTCGGTTTGTAAATACACAAACACGTCAGTCGGAATAGGGACGTTAAATTAAATGGCTTTTGTACAGTAACACGATCTGCACGTACAAAACACTTCTTTTCCTAACCAAAATACTCTTTTTACAGTGAGTCCTAATTTTACTCCCTCCATCCTTGTCAATCGATTTTATAGATCCTGAATTTTGTATTGATTGTTAATTTGTTCTCGTCCAGATTTGGGTATGAATTTTTTGACAATGGACGTTAAACAAAAAAACAATCAATCTTCCCACTCTGATCGTTGCTGTATCAAATCTTTTCAAAGGTACAGTTGCCGATATTAGAGTGTAGGACGACATAGTTTCTTTAACATCAACCTTACGTACTTTGAGACTGCGTTACTTTAGTTTGCATTGTTTGACATATATCTGTGTTTTGTGTTGTCTTTTATACCGGTATCTTAGAGTTGAGTGCTTTATTTCAACTGAATTTTCTTTGTGAGTTCTTTCATGTAAATTTTTGTATACTCTTGCTCGACTAATCGAGATTTCAAGGGAGAAATTAGTAAAATTCTACTTGATGTGATTGAACCAACTCACTCCCAAGACATAAACCTCTTAAGTTGTTGTCTTTTTAATATCATAGTGTTGTTTGTTATTTATGGAAGTTGGTATTTATAACACATCCTTACAATCGTAATAGACGAGGGACTTACAGCGTGATATATTCTGTAGACATTTGTCCATTTTCAAAAAACGTATATTGACCTTTAATTACTCTTACTCGACGTTTCCTTTTATAACAAATAAATACTTACAAAATCAAACTAAATGAAGATCAGATAGGTAAATCCTATATCTAAATACGCCGAAGAAAACGAACGCTGTATTGTCAAGATTTCCGAATGTCTAGTCGTGGTTCCTGACACAGTATTCTCAATACCGTTAGCGGACTTCAGGGTTGAATATTTAAAAGGAAGCTAGCCATATTGAAAATATTTCACCAGGAGAGCTAAATTTCAAGATAACGTATGTGTTATTACATACGAGGCATGCAAATTAAATAATCATCCCTTCAGATAAACAAACAAAAACAAAAGTATCATCTATTGACATGTATACATTGTAATATCAAAATATATCTTAAAATTTATATACCTATATGACTAGTTCGATATATATTTTGAAAATGAAACGTATTTATCTATGCAAATAAATGAGCAGTTTTGCCACTGTCAAATTTATCTATCATAGTTTTCGAGATATTAATTAGTTAATGCATTTTACTCTTATATTCTATTTTTAGCCATGCGATCAAGTTTTTTAACTGAACGAAAAAAGCAAAACTCTACACTATATACCCTCATGATCAGGCGTCCAATGTTTGGTTAAAATTGGTTCAGTAGTTTCAGAGGAAAAGATCTTTGAAAAGGTATATAACGGACACGAAAATGTAAAAAAAATCGCCGTTTAAGGCTATAACTCCTTCTGGAGTCAGCCAATTGTTTTGGTTGTATTCGTTTTTTTTGTAGATCTTCTATTTCTGATTAATATGCTGTATACAGTTTCTTCCTAATTATTATAAATTCGAAACAATAGGCAAAAACATGAAAAATGGCCACAAATCGTCATTTAAAGTCAATATCTATTTAACGAGTCATCTGATTATTTTGCTGAAAATAGGAGTTAGGTAGTTCTTGATCATGCCTCGTCAAATTATCTCTATCTGTTATGGTTTTTTAAATATATTAAGACAGTTCACGCATTTTACACCTATCATCTATTTTTAGCCAACCCCGACCTTGCGAGACCTTCATGGGTAGTCAAGGTAATTAAAAAACCAAAGAAGTGTTTTAGCCATGGCAGTCATTTTTTATTTACTGACCGAAAACCCGAACTTTTCACTAAATACCATAAGGATCATTCACCATAAGTTTGGTTGAAACTAGTTCAGCAGTTTTAAGAGATCTTTGAAAAAGTTTACGATGATGACGACGACGGACACCAAGTGATCACATTAGCTCACGTGGACTAATGGCCAGTTGAGCTAATAAGGACCTAAAAAGAATAGCTAATTTTACCACTGGTCAACTTTGTTTGACGTGGTCGGAACCTTAGTTTCTTAATAATTTTTCAATTTTATATACAACGAATTTAATCACAAAAGTATGTTATAAATCATATCAGTACCAAAACACTGTGATACCTTCAAGGAGTAACAGTCCACCAGGGCATATATCTGTGATATCAAGTTTTTTGTCACAATATTAAATGCCTTTAAAAGAAAACACGAAGTTATTTACTTACAATTGGAATAAAAATTCTGAAACAAAATGTTTAAAAAAAATGATATGATAAAACGATAGGTGTTACTAGTGAAACTGGTAGTGGGTTGCTTTTTAAGTCAGTCCCGCTTTACAGGTATTTTGCACAGGCACTTGTTATATGCAAAGTTTAAGCCCCCTTTCTTTTACAAAAGAGGGTGGAGGTTACCATCACATTAAACAAGTGCATATGGTATTGTTATGCTATCAAAAAGGGTCGGGTCGGTATTTACAGACTAGAGAATAATGGACCAATAAATATTATTAATAAAGAACGATGGGATGCAAAAATATAAAGAATAGAGAATAATGGGGTGCTAGAATATGAAAAAAAATCCCGAGAATAAAAAAGAAAACAAAATGCGAAAATGACTTTATAAATTAAAGAATATAGAAATGAAGACGGAACGTATATGAACTCTGTGATGGAGATTGTCTCCTTATTACCGTTTCTTAAAAAGTAAGATAATTCAAATTCTTGGGCGAAAAGGAGAATGGGACCAGTTTTGCATGTAATTTCCCCATAATAAAATGATTAGTTTGTATTTAACAAATAATTAAAATTTGCATTAAATTATTTCATATGTAACTTCGTTGTAAGATAATATTTATAGTTATTATTAAAATTGAATAAAGATTTTCGACAAAGATAACTAAGTTTTAATTACAGTTAATATCAAAATAAATTAAAATTGTAACAGGTTGTTGTTTCCTGTTTCAATGTAGTTGGGTTCAATTGGTCAATGATTGTATGAATTACGCCCTGTTATAGTGACGAAGCACGGACTTGGAAAAAAAGAAAGTATAATAAGGCCCTTTTTTGCTCCTTGAATTCGAAAATCTAAAAATATCACGAATCTACAAAATAACATCCGTCAGATGATCATATCATTAAGTAATATAGAATAATGGCATTTTTGTTTTTGATGCTGACTTTATTAGCAAGAATATCAAGCGAGCCCGCAAGGCTGTATATTGGGATTGTTGTCTTGCATATTTGCAGGACGGCTTCAAACTTTTTAAATTAGAGCAAAACTGCAAAAACGGCCATAATAACCTCACTTTGAGATCTTGTCATTAATATTTAGATATGCGCAACAACTTAACTTAAAAAGATATTTTGCTACTGGATGTATCTTACACAGATGTTAGTGTGTGTAAACCATCTTTTAGGGTAAAGTAAAAACTACGTGTAAAAAGGTGATTTTAGGTCACATCTGTCAAATTCAATATGTTTATATAACATCACAAGTAACTTTTCTGCACTAAAATATGTAGATTATAACAACCTGTTCACATATCAATAAAATTAACATAATTTTGAAAGGTTTGAGTACTTTTACTACTTTTCGAA